AATGCTCAGGTCAAGAGATCTGCTTTCCACTTCCAGCCCTTCCCATAATTAATTAGCTGTAAGACAGGTTTCTTAAAAGTGCTTTAGTCCTTCACCCTCTTATCTCTAAAACAAGAGATTGAACTGGGTAAACAATAAGGTTCCCTTTGTTCTTACATCCTCCCTGCTGGTCCAGGATGTTTTCAGACTCTGTGTGCCTCAGATTTTTACGTGGAACAGCAGTCTGGATTCTGTAGTTAAGACCCTGGCATCCCTCAGGAGCTGGGGCCTAGGTGCTGAGCTTATGATCTATTGGGGAAAGTAAAACTCACAAATATTAAAAATTAAAGAAGAGTTAAATGTTAAATTTTAAGCCATAGTAAGTACAGGAAGAATGCAGGGAAGCTAGAGAGGAGTGTTGATCGGAACAGGGAAAACTTCATTGCCAAGGGGAGATTGGAGTTAACCTCATTTACTGAGCTAGACGGACTGCAGTACTGACATAGGGCAGCAGTTCTCATGCTTTTGTGTTTGCTTGTCTCTGGAAAAACACCCTTCAACACTGAAGAACAAAACATTTTTCTACCTTAAATTAAAACAATGTAGGAGAAAGACTTACTTCTGTGGAAGTAAGTGTTTGAAGGGAAATCAAAATGCTAAAAACTCCTTTTTCTATATTTAATTTTTTGAGACTAATCTTGACTCTTAGGAAATTGATACTGAAAAAATCATTACTACCAAATATAGGCTGAATCAAAAACCCTTTTACACCTCCCTATAGATAATAATAAATAGTATTAGAAATTATCTAAAATGGAAATAAAAGTTTCTTGAATTATAGGTAATATTGAAAATGACATATCTCTATCTTAACTCATTGGAAAAGAGACCAGATAATTTAGATTTTATAACATAGGGGCACAGGAATCTTTGATTCATGTCTTTTGATGTCAAAGGAGATGTATTTTGCATTATAATTAGAATTTTATTAAATTGTATTAGGTCATTAAATATGAAATATCCAATTTCAAATCAAAAGTGTAGTTTATTATATCTCAAACAAGAAGAAGTACAATTAATCGAAGTACGTGCATAAACTATCGACACAGTGTTGCCATCTTAACGGTAGCCTGTTTATGCCAAAAGTGAAGAAGCCTGGAGAGTGAGTGGTGATAAAATCATGAAAAGCGTTTTTCACAGTTTGTTGAGAATGGAGTATTTTTCCTCGCAAGAAGTTGTCCAAAGCCTGGAAGAAGTGGTAGTCAGTTGGTGCAAGATCTGGTGAATACAGTGGATGACAGTCCAGCCTTTGTAGTTTGAGCAGCGTTGTTTGTGCAACATGTGGTCAAGCATTTTCTTGCAAGAGGCCTGTCTCCATTAACCAGTCTCAGCTGCTTAATTGCAAGCATCCTCTTCATTTTGTCCAACTGGTTGCAGTAGACATCCTTTGTAATTGAGTGATTACATGGTTTCATTAAGCTGTAGTGGATAATACCAGTGCTGGACCACCAGACAGACATGATTAGCTTTTTTTGATGAATATTCGGTTTTGGACTGTTTCAGCATTTCACCTTTATCCAACCATTGTGCCAAACACTTGTGATTGTCAAAAAGAATCCATTTTCAACACATGTAACAATACAGTATAGAAATGGTTCACCTTTATGTCATGACAGCAAGGAAAGGAAAGCTTCCAGACGATTTCTCTTCTGACGGTCATTTAATTCATGTGGAACCCATCTATCCAGCTTCTTTACCTTGTCAGTTTGTTTTAAATGGTCCAGTATTGTTGGGATAGTAACATCACACCTTGCTGATAATTCATGCATAGGTTGAGATGCATTCATTTCCACTATAGCTTTCAGCTCATCATTATCCACCTTGGTCTTAGATTGCCCACCTGACTGACTCATTTTCAAGATTAAAAATCACGAGAACTTCTCAAACCGTTAACGTACTGTGCATTCATTAGCCACATCCTTCCCAAACACTTCGTTGATATTTTGAGCTGTCCGTGCTACATTGGTTCCATGACGGAGCTTATATTTGAAAATAACATGAATTTTTGACTTATCCATGGTTTCACAAAAATTGCTCTAAAAAAAAATTTCAATGATAATCACAAGCCAAAATGTGCATTTGAAAGACTGAGATGTCTCTTCACAATAAAAATAAAACAAGAAGTGTCAAAGTGAAATGTCAGAGATATCGACTGTCAAACATAGCACTTAAGGAAGTCGGACATTTCATACTTAATAACCCTTGATAACATTCTTAATATTCCCTTAAGTAGAGGTTGTATGACCAGTGCTCAAATATAGAAAAATACAAAATAGAGTGGTTACCATCATTTGAAGAGTTATATTTAGTACATACAGTTTAGCTCTAAATATCTCTTGAATATCCTAAGAATTTTGGTTTTTATCTTTCTGGCTAGAGTATTTTGAAATTGTGGACTGCCAGTATTTTTTTTTGAAAACACATACCATTATAGTTTTAGTATATATTCATGAGCTGCATAATGAAGTTTTGGTTAATGATGGACCACGTATATGACTATAATAAGATTATAATACCGTATTTTTACTGTACCTTTTCTATGTTTAGATACACAAATACTAATCATTGTGTTACAGTTGCCCACAGTATTCAGTATAGTAATATGCTGTAAAGGTTTGTAGCCTAGGAGCCATAGGCTACACCATATAGGATAGGTGTGCAGTATGCTGTACCATCTAGGTTTGTGTAAGTACACTGTATGAGGTTCTCACAATGATGTTTAATGGTGAAATCCCCGTTGAAGGTATCCCCATTAAATGACGTATGATTGTATTTGATAAATCTTTTATATAATCAACTATTAATTATCTATCATAATAACATAATGAGAATGACAATATAATATGGTAGAATCTATTTTTAAACTATTTAATACAATGTATGTAACTTAATACCAAGATTATTTTGGCTTCAGATGACAGAAAACCCAACCCATTGGGTGAAGCAAAGAAAGGACTTTTTGGAGCCATGTGATTGAAAAATTTGAAGGTAGAACTAGCTTCAAATATGGCTAGTGTAAATAATATAATCAGAATCTGGTCTCTCTGCGTCTCATGGCCTTGCGTCCTCTGTGTTGGAAAGCTGGCTCCATTTAATTACATGATGGCTGCAGAGGGTTTTTTATCTGTCGGATTCAAACCTAGTGGAAAAGAGAATAGCCACCTTCCCTAACCTCCTTAAATCAAATCCTGAATTACATCTCATTGGCTCTGATTGGAGATCATTTGCCCTCCGGAGTCTCTGGGGCCAGCAAGACTGATTGGCCAGATTGAAGTCCCATGCCCGTCCCTGGAGCTGGGAGGCCATGTCTACACTGACAGAGGACAGAGGAAAATTGGCTACTGTTCCAAAAGAAGGAGGAATGGATACTTGATGTAAAACAGCAGCAGCAACAACGACAAAAGTCACTACATATATTTCTCAGTTTAAGCCAATATTAAATTTACGTTGTCTAAATACAAAGATTTCAGCAGTAGAAGACCATTGCAAGGTATACTTTGTGGTTGTATGATGTAGAACTGGAATTTAAAACAATAAATTTATGTACAAAATGTATAACCTTAATGAAATAATTAAAAGTGATAGTACTGGATATCTGATAGCTTACCTTACAGGCAGGATATTAAAAATATTTAACAACCTGGGACAGCAGCATCTACTAATCAGAATGAGTTGGAGCCAGCCAATCAGAACTGGTGCTGATCACAAACAACTAGTGTGGCCTCTGAGTGAGGGCTGGCAGGTTGTCAGCACAACTTACCGGGAGCCATTGTTAAGGTGCTGCCAAAACTCTTAAAAAATGTAGTTTGTGTATTAGTTTCTCAGGGATTCCATAACAAAGTATCACAAACTGTGTGACTTAACAAATTTATTCACTCTCAGTTCTGGAGGTTAGAAGTCAGAAATCAAGCACGGTCATGCTTTCTCTGAAGTCTCTAGAGAAGAATCCTTTCTTGCCTGTTGTAGCTTCTGGTAGTTGATGGGAGTCCTTGGCATTCTTTAGCTTGTAGATGCACTACTCCAATCTCCATCGTCATGTGGCTTTCTCCCTTGTGTGTTTCACTGTATCCAAATTTCCCTCTTCTTAGAAGAAGATTCAGTAACCACTTCTTCCTTAGTTATTATTTTAATTCTGTTAAAATGTAAATATTGGTGTGACAATTTGGTGGAGAATTAATATTTATTGGTATGTGTGTTTGTGCATGGGGAGGTATTACATTCTTACACATGACTTTATTGAATTCAAACAAGTGTTGCCTTAATAAAAAAACAGAACTAACCACAGTGAGATAAACAGCATCCATTAGTATATTTAAAGCAAGTACAAGAACAGGAGGGAAATTCAACTACTGAAGGGCTCAGAAAGCATATCTTGTAAGGAATATTTGCAGATGATGGTAATTTCTTCAGCTCTTTGAAGAACAGCCCCGTGGAAAAGGGTTGAGACTCCAGAGGGCAGAACTAGAACCAGTAAGTTAAAGTTAAAGGGAAACATTTCAGTGCAGTGTAAGACAAAACTTTGCTAGTGTACAAGGCACCAAAATGGAAGTGCCTGTTGTGTAAGGGAGTAAAGAGTGCAGGGTCCTGGAAGTGCTCAGGCAGATGCTGTATAGTTACCTTTTGGGGACATTTTCATAGAGATCTTGCCTTGAAAAAGAAATTGAAATCGAAAGTCCCTTCCGGCTTCAAGATATGATACAAATCCTTTGAAAATTGTTCTCTATGTATACACCATGAAAATCAATATTCATTATATGACAAGATGTTTCTGTGAGTTTAAATGTGATTTAAATACTATTTAAAACTAGTAGACTAGTCTCTTTATCCACATTATCTCATCTCATTTAGTACACTTAGTTTTTCATTGCTCAGTTTGGAACTTATGAGAAGTAGTTTTTAAAATGATGAGTTCTTAAAATAATTGGCATTTTCTCATGTATTTTTTTGGTGATGGCACACAGGACTGTTCTGATGGCTACATGTGCAAAACACACTTTAAAATTAAAAATGCGACAGTGGTGTCACATCCAGGAACATCTGGCCACGGACAAACATGTCTTCCCTTGGAGGTGAGTAGTTTAATGCCTCATGTTCTTCTTTTTAGTTTTTGTGAAGTATAAGTTTAAGAATTTAAATCTGTTAAGTACATATTTTAAAAAATTAACTGCCATCGTATCCTCAGCCTGTTGTAGGGGGATAAGGAGGTATTTATTTTTATAATATTGAAAGCAACAATTGTAGCAAAGTTAATATCCCTTCTGAGTCTATTCAGACTGTAGTGAGCCTTCACACTTTTGGTTTCTCTTGGATCTGAAGACCACAGATGCCGTCTGTTGTCTATTGATTTTTTTTTTCCCTAGTCATATTCCCTCAGGATAATACAGACCTGTCCCTGGGCTGGCTTAATACCTTGCTGGAGATCTCTTTGCCTGGTCTGTCTTTAACCGTTTTTCTCTAGCTCCTTGAAAATAAGCTGGGTCTGGGTCTCATTCCTTAGGGGACTTTAGTCTTGACTTGAAAAACCTTGCTAAATTAAATTTTACTAAGGTGCTAATGGCTTAGTGATTTTCTGGGATATTTTCAATTTTCTTTTTATCAAAATGCAAATAGCCTTATTTTATTACTTATTTAAAAATTGTATATATCCATTGTAAAAATAAACAATAGATAAATCTATAAAAAGAGTAAAAAAAATCTTGTATATACCTGCCCTTTAATAGGTAACCGCTATTAGTCTTTTAGTAAATATCCTTTCATACATTCTGTCATACACAAATATACATACTTGCTTTTTTACAATGAACAAGTACATCATGGACATCTTTTCACGTTGATAAATGCAGATTTCCGTAGTTCTTTTTAATGGCTCCATTGCATTCTGTCCTATGGAAGCACAATTATTGAATAAAATAATTGAATTTTGAAAGAGTGTTGATGGGGATCTACCTGTTTCAACACCAAAGAAGACATCACTAACACTTAAATTCTTAGCATCCTAGTAAAATAGGAGAGATGACTTTTTTTGTATGCAGGAAGAGCTCTTTCTTAGGACCTGTTAAATCAGGCCCATTTGGCAATCAGGTATTAGCCCTCTCTGCCTGTGTATAATGCTGGCCTGGAAGTAACTTTCACCAATGTAATTTGGTTTGTGAGTTATTCCTGAGGGTATTGTGCTTGGTAATAAGCTAAGTGCCCCCAGATGGGTGCTTGAATCTTGATTACTGCTTCATGGTTCCAATAACCAACATCAAAATCTGAAGCCAAGAATATTAGGAAGCTTTTCAATTCATTATATATTAACTTTAAAAAAATTAACATAAAAATGATGATTTAAAAGATGAATTACCAGTTTTTGCCTAACAAGTTGGCAGAGATTTGAAAAGCACTAAAAAGTGGTGTTGACAGTGTGAGGGAACTGACACTTTCTGGTTGATGTTTTAACTTCACAAAGTTTAAAGATGTGCACATACTACGAATAATCTATTCCAATTCTAGGAATTTAGCCTCATAAAATATAAGTTTTTCCAACATTTTTTATTTGCAACATTTTCTAACAAATTTCAAACATATGGAAAAGTTGAAAGAATTTTGCAGTGAATATCCATATACTTACCACCTAGATTCTACCATTAACATTTTGCTGTACTTGGTTTATCATATATTGATCCCTCTATCCATCTATCAATACATCTTATTTTTTGATGCAATGTTTTTATGTAAAAGTAAGTTGCAGATAAATATTCATAATAAGAAATGTAAGCAATGATTTGCCTGCAAGTATTTTTATCTCATTATTTATAATAGGAAAAAAGTGAAAACAACTAAAATGTACGACAGTAATGCATTGGTTAATTATGGCACATCTCTATGATGGATGCAGTTATTAAAAATGATCTTCTAGGTGACCATTTAATTACAAGAATTAAATGTTCATATTAAGTGAAAAAAAGGTAGATTATGTGGTATGAACAATAGAATCCAAATATTGTTAACACTTTTCCAACTATCCATTGACTATTATGATTTTAAATCATTATTCTTTTTTCTTTTTTAATTTATCTCTTCAAAAAGTGAAACCCATAACTCTTCTCTTACCCCTTTGAAATCCCTGGCATTATTTTTGCTTGGTCCAGTGATTTCATTTGGAGTCACCGTCCATTCTTGTAAGCTTCCTTTACTGCTGTAGCTCTAGTACGCAGCTCACTCTCTCCCTTCCCAAATAACAGAGGAAGATTTTAAATGTTACCTCTGTGAAAACACTGTTAAGAGAAGAAAAGACTGGGACAAAATATTTTGCAAATCTTATTTGTAACAAAGACTTGTTTCCAGATTGTATAAAAACCTTTGAAACTCAATAATAAGAAAAGAAGCAGCTTGATGTTTAAAAACGGGTAAAAGTTTTTTTTTTTTTTTTTTTTTTGAGACAGAGTCTCACTTTTTTTCCTGCCTGGGCTAGAGTGAGTGCCGTGGCATCAGCCTAGCTCACAGCAACCTCAGACTCCTGGGCTCAAGCGATCCTACTGCCTCAGCCTCCCAAATAGCTGGGACTACAGGCATGCGCCACTATGCCTGGCTAATTTTTTCTATATATTTTTAGCTGTCCAATTAATTTCTTTCTATTTTTGGTAGAGACAGGGTCTCGCTCTTACTCAGGCTGGTCTCGAACCCCTGAGCTCAAACAATCCGCCCGCCTTGGCCTCCCAGAGTGCTAGGATTACAGGTGTGAGCCACTGCGCCCGGCCAAGAAACGGGTAAAAGATTTTAACAGACACTTCATCAAAGAAGATATGGGGATGACGATAAAAATATCCTCAATATATTTATTCACTAGTGCAAAAAGTTTTAAAACCACAATGAGATGTCACTGCATACTTACGAGAATGAAAAAAATGGCAATACCAAGAGCTGACAAGATTGCAGACAACTGTAACTCTCATGCATTGCTGGTGGGAATGCAAAATAGTGCAGGTCTACTGGAAAACAATTTGACCTTTTCTGGAAAAGTTAAGCATATACTTATTATATGACCCAGAAATCCCATTATAGGTATTTATCTAAGAGGAATAAAAACGTATGATTATATAAGTCCTGCATGCAAATGTTTGTTTATAGTAGCTTTATTTCTTATCACCCAAATCTGGAAACAATCCAAGTGTCCTTCAGCAAGTACCAGGATAAACAAATTGTGGTGTATATTCCGTTGTATACTCTTGGGCAGACAGAGAAACTACTGATTCCTTTAACAACATAGATGACTCTCAAATGCATTTTTATTAATATATGTGAAAGAAGTTAGATGTGAAAAATTATGTACCGTATAATTGCATTCTATGACATTCTGGAAAAGGCAGAATTATAGGGACAGATATCAGATTAGTGGTCTCCAGAGGTTAGAGGTTGGAGGGCATGGACTGGATCTAAAGGAGCAGCATGAAGGAATTTGGGAGGTAATGGAACTATGCTGTATTGTGACTGTAGCGGTAGATAGATTATGTCTTTGTTAAAAACCCATGGAACTATGTATCACAAAGAATAAATTTTACTGTTTGTGATTTTTAAAATTAAATAAAAAGTGCTTTGGAAAATTAAAAAAAAAAGTTCAGAATAAGACAGTCCAGCATGCCATCTTGGTGGATCTCCCACCCCTATAGCAGAAATAGTAATTGACAGATTACATATATTTATACAAACATACACATATAAAACTTAGAAATAATTTCCCCCTTCCAATCAGATAAGATTTTCTTACCTGTTTTTTTCCCCCCTTTTTAGTAACTTTTATTCTTGTTCTTTCTTTTCAAGGATTTGCCTTAAAAATATATGTCCTTTATTTTTCATTCTTATTACTCCTCAGACGTGTGCTTATTGTTTTTAAACAGATTGCTTCCTTAGACTGTAAACCCCATGGAGGTAGGGCAACTTAGTGAATATCTATTATGTGATTAAATCTTCAGATTTATTTGGTCACCCTTAGAACCAGCTCTGATATCTTTGTATTTTGATATAAGCTGAGTTATCAAGTGAATTACTTAGAATTGATTGAATTCCAAATGAGTTTAGTTTCTACTAGAACATGTTTTTTTAAAACAATCAATTTACATAGAAAAATTAACAATGTTTAACAAGAGAGATTTGCAGTGACTTTTTAGTAGTTTATGTTTCTGAGTTGTCATAGGAATGGAATCTGGTGATAAGCCCTTCATCTTGCAGTCAGCTACAGTGTTTTATTTTTAATTATTTGGTAACTCGTAGTAAATTTAGACTGCCTAATTTACTCAGATTATAACAACAGCACAATTAGAAGAAAGAGTGCTAGACTTGGAGTTAGAAGTTGTTTTGTAGCTTTCTTGGCCACTTACTAGTAATGTACCCTTGAGTAAACTTCAGTTATACTGGCTCTGCTTACTTGTTTCTTTTCATTGTATCTAATAAGCATAAAGTGCTATTATTATTAATACTAATAATGCCATACGTAGAATTATTTTTTTATGGCTATCTCATAATTATGCAATAAGCATGATGTGAACGGAGAAATAGGAAGGGGCAGGAAGGGAGCAGAGACTCTGTGACACTTCCATTCTTACCATATTCTGTTCTTGCCTTTTAGAGGTTGGGAATAACCCCTAAGTGGGAAGATAACCATTATTGAACTACTAGCCGGAGTATCTCAGAGAGTGGCACAGACACAATTGCGAATGACTCTCACTAAAAACTAGTGGTAGACCATTTAGGGCATTTAAAGCATTTCATCTGAACTGCATATTATAAAGTCTCACTTTCCTAGATCAATATTGGACAAAATTATATTTTTCTCCGAAGTTCTTTCTGTCTTCATCATAGATTTGTTGATAACTTTTATTTATTCAGAGGTATGATTATAGGTATGGTGATTTGAAATGTGTTAGTTTTTCATTTTTAAATACCTCAGAATTAATTTTTTTATCTTAATAGTACTGTTTGTGACATCAGTAGAAAATATGACAATTTAGATACATATCTAGGTGGAATGTAATTAAATGAAGAACAGCCATCTATTGTTTGTCTCAAAAATGCAATGTACTGCTGACAC